GGAGAGGAGGAGGCGGGAGTGTTTGGCTGGGAAGGGCTTGATGGAGGCGGAGGGATTAGATACGGGGGGTGTGGAGTTGGGCGAGTGCGAGATGAATCGGAGGGAGAAGACGGAGAAGGCGAGGAGGGGGAGTAGTGGGAAGAAGGAGAAACATCATGAAGGAGAGGACAAGGCGCATAAGAGCTTGATTGAGTGGTTGGTCAAGGGGAATGTTATATATAAGAGTGTGGGACTGGGTCTTACGGACGTCGTGGTGGGCGGTGACCTTGTTCGCATAGCGAATGAGCGCAGTATCGGCACGAGGATCGATAACTTCTAGGGTGGGTTGTCGCATCCATCGGAACTGGAAGTGGGATCACAGCAATTCGACTGCGAGTGCAGCTGAGGCGGTAGTCATAATTCAACATATATAATCAGAGCATAATCACAAGCAACAAATCATGCGAATGGCGTGCGTTATCGTGATTGATTCCAGTCAATGCAGTCGTTTGCCGACCGCTTTTAACCCTCCTAAACTCCGTTGGTATTGTGAACCGACTATATGCAGAGATAAGAGACACGCCGTAAAGTCATCATGAAATCGAGAAAGCACATCAGAACCCGCTTAGATCTTGATAGCGCTCTCGATGGCCTTCCTCTTCTTCTCCATGCGGGCGTTGGCCTTGGCACCCATGATACCACCTCCCCAGTGGCGGGCAGCGTCCTTGTGGTGCGACTCGAGGTAACCGTCGTTGACAGCAGTGATGAGCTTCTGGAGCTCGTTCTTGTCCTCAGAGCGGACCTCAGTGAGGGCGAGGACGGCGGCGGTCTTCTGGTGGACGACCGTTCCGAGACGGGCCTTGCCCTTGACGATAACGTAAGGGACACCTGATGTATGTCAGTGAAGGTTCCATTTTCAACTTGCGCATTTGGAGTACTCACCCATCTTCCTGCAGAGAGCGGGCAGGTAGACAACGAGCTCGATGGGGTCGACGTCGTTGGCGATCAGGACGAGGGAAGCCTTCTTGTTCTCAATCAGGCCAACAACGTGGTTGAGACCGTACTTGGCGACGTAGGGCTTCTTGCTGACGTCCTCCTTCTTCTTGCCCTCAGCGACGGCGGTGGCCTCCTTGGTGAGGCGCTCCTTCTTCTCGGCCTTGGTCTCGGGACGGTACTTGTTGAGGATCTTGAAAGCCTGGGTGGCAAGGTTACGGTCGGCAACGTGCTGGAACTGGGCAATCGCCGGTGGGACCTTCAAGCGCATGTTGAGGATCTTCTTCTGGCGTTGAAGACGGACATACGCGCTACACATCATCAGTATCTGCCATCTGCGGTGGATCGGGGTTTGCTTACGGCCAGCGGACCATGCGGCCGACGTTGCGCTGGGGCTGGATGTCCTGACCGATGCCATAGTTGCGAGGACGCTTCTCGATGAGAGGGTTCTGTTCCATTGTGAGCGGTTGCAGTTGAATGTTTCAGGAATGGGCAGACCTTTTGCTTCTTGGCGGCAGACGACTTAGAAGTGGCCTGGGGGAAAGCCGCAGGCTTCTTTCCGGATCCTTTGGGAGGCATTGTCGAGGCTGTCATAGAGAACAGAAACCATTAGCGAATGTTCATTCACTATAGGTCTGAATCTCGTAAGAGCGAGAGGGCCTTTCAGCCGCTCTCCACTCTAGCCATCATTTGTATGCAACACGCTCATGTAGAGACGTGCGATTGTGATATGCTACCGAGCATTCATGGCGGATATGCGCTTACCTGGTGTGTTGGCGGCGACGAAGTAAAGATTGGCGACGGTGGACTTGACGAACGTTCGAAAGCGGGCGCAAAAGTTGTCGGCACCGAAATCCAGAGAAGCGAGTGCGCGCGGGTGGGGAAGAACGTTTCGCCGGCGCTAGCGCCTGCCCAATGGTAGCGTGCTGCTTCACCATCCATCAACGACCGCGACACCTTCAATGCGAGATCATGAACGCGATTAATCTCGGTGCGAAAGGGCGTAACGCGCAGCTCGTCGCCATAGTCTGCCTGTGGAAAGCGCTGCTCCTCTCGCTCGCTGCATTCTGCCCAGGTCCCGGATACGACACCTCTGGCCTCATACTGCTCGACACGAGCGCCCGGCGTCATGTTAAGTTCGATGTCACCTCCCGCTATGAGCGTTTCGTCCTCAATCTGCTCCGCTGGGACGCATTGTACTTTGTTAAAGCAGCTGAGCGGGGTCATGTCCACGAGCAAGCGTGGGCCTTCAGCGGGGTGTATTCGTATCTCCTGAGACCAACCGGTCAATGTGAGCACCAGAGGCCCAGTCATTTGGGTCGGCACTGATATCTCGCAGTGATGGCTGGCGATGCGCAGGCCCCTCTGCACTACTATGCTCTGGCCGGAATCATCCTTTCCAACATCTGCCACCTCCTCTCTGTGCTAGTGCTGTATCGCCTATTGACCTTGGTCCTGGAACCTCAACGGCGACAGATCATCCCATTCATCGCCGCTGTCTTGCACATCCTGACGCCAGCTTCTCTTTTTATGAGTGCACCGTATGCCGAAGCCATGTTCTCATTGCTCAATTTCACAGGCATGCTCCTCTATGCTCAATCTCAAACTGCGGCTGAGACTGGAACGTCATGGGTTCGAGCGGACTTTCAAAAGATTGGCTCTGGTGCTTTTTTCGCAGCAGCTACACTGATGCGAAGCAACGGTCTACTCAGCGGCTTAATTCTCCTATACGATGTCGCTAAGTACATGCCCTCTCTGATGTCTGCGCAGTTGCGTATACCAGATGTAAGAAGGATGCTTGTCACATGCATGGCTGGTAGTCTGATAGCCTTGGCATTCTTCGGACCGCAGTATCTAGCATACACGGAATTCTGCGACCGAGGCAGCGGCACTGGAACTAGACCGTGGTGTGACAAGACCTTCCCGAGCATTTACTCGTGGGTACAAAGCCAATACTGGTAAGTTACCCCAATACGATGACTTACTAGTCTGACCTCTTCCAGGAACGTAGGACTCTTCCGTTACTGGACCATCTCAAATCTGCCTCTGTTCATACTAGCGGCACCAGTTTCGTGGCTGCTTCTCACAACAAGTGTCACCATTCTCCGCAGCGGTGTCCCACGCCCGTTGAGTGGGCGCCCTGTACCCCAGACTGGTGAAACAGCCAAATCCAGGAACGGAACCTCCGCGATATGCAAGCTACCGGAATTGGCACTTCCACAATTACTACTGGTTGCAACAGCCGTTACCAGTTTTCACGTCCAGATTGTAAATCGGATTGCTTCCGGCTATCCGATGTGGTATCTAGTCGTCGCTACGTGGTTGGCTGATTCACAAAGTACTCGCCCGACAGCAAACCGTTCACGAACAGCCAAGTGGTGTATCAGAGGTAGCATCATGTATTGCTTGATACAGGGCATGCTTTTTGCTAACTTCCTCCCACCGGCCTAAATCTTGGGCTGCGCAAATACTGTCGCACCCACAAAGTGTTGGCGTAAGCTCTACAACATAGCTCTTCGATTCGGACGCCCAGACAGACTGTACCACGTAGTTTATTACTAGTAAAACGCCATGATCAGACCCCTGAACTCCAATACGAATGTTTCGCAGTTACCATACCACTCGGTACATCTAGACGGTTACTTAATTCTCCGGGCGAGCTGGTGCTAAACCTAGGAATAGCTCAGAAGCCCACACCTTACCGAGCTAAGATCTATGTCTTACATGCGAATTTGGGCACTGCGACAGAAGCTCAGCGATCAGCTACGAGGTCGTCATGATGCCAAGTACCCCACAGTCTCAATACTAGTGTTGCTGCTCTAATGCCCCAGCCATCGCAAGTGTTAAGACATGCACCCTACAATGGAACTTGGAGATGATAGATCAACGTCGCATAGAGCGGCTGACCTGTCTTTCTAGCCTATCATGGAGAGCTGGGCTGACGACTTTGTACCTGCATGCGCTACTGACGCCAACCTAGCGATGGAAGCCTAGATCATCGTATAAAAGTTGGCGATGCGACAATATGGCGAGATGCTGTGCCAGCATACTACTGCAGTTCCAGTCCAGTTGTATACAAAAACGTCATGATATCGAACCCCTCTGCAAGATGCGACACATTGGGCGAGGTAGAACATGGCATTATCCACTGCTTCCCTACACATGACCGACAGCCTTGCAATGTCACTGTTTTCGCGACGGAAAATGACTTCTTGAACACCAACGCGCCATTTCAGGACACTGATCAATGCCCTAGTTTCTGGGTCAGAAGCCTTCTGCTTGAGAATGATGACCACCGTCAAGTCTCACAGCGACGCCACCTACACCAACCAGAACGTCGGAGTAAAGATGAGGGCCTCTCGGAAAGACAGAAGGAAGGCTTGGTCACGCCGGCTTTGTCACTAGTCTTTGGCATAGTGAGGGCGACTTATAAAGGTTGCTTGAAGCTCCTTTGGTTGGTAGCCGTGCTCATCAGCCTAGTCCGACCTACACTCGTTACTAGAAAACGATGAAGCTTTCTACCTTCGCTACCTTTCTCAGCCTGTCCGTGGCTTTGGCAGCCGTGCTCGACACTAGACAGCAATGCAATGAGGATGACTGCTTCCGCGCAGTTTTCGGCAACGGCGGATTCGGTCAGATAATCAGGGCCGGAGAAGACTGCGATGACTTCCTCACTACAAGCGTCATCTGGTACCCAATGTTTGTAGCCCAATCAAGATGTCTATCGAACACACTAACAGTCTACTCCAGCACCACTATCACATCCTTTACTCTTACGACATCTACTCTGACAATACCATGTCCTTCGGACGTATTGCCCGTTCCGACAGATGAGCCCATTACTTCCGACGAAGAAAAACTGTGGATTCGACAAGCACTGCCAACCGGAACCAACTGGTCCACGACCACCGTCTTTGGACCAGTGCCTACATACGCCACCCAAGCTTGTGTCTCGCAAGAATACAAATCTGTATGCGGATGTGCGAGCATCACCGAGGATACTGTCACCTATCTTGGAACCGTAAGTTTCATGCCGGTGTATGATGAACATTGGCTGATCGAGTGTCGTAGACTGTGACCGATATTGAGACTACAACGTATACAAGCGTCACGATCACTGGGACGTCCTGTCCAACCATTACACCGTCGTCTTCGATGAGTTCTTCGAGCATGGTTACTTCGTCTACGGTGTCCAGTAGTGTTTCCAGCAGCACTAGCTCTACCTTCTCGTCATCCTCGAGCACGGATATTTCTTCAAGCTCGGCGACATCGTCATCCAGCACGGGAAGTTCTTCGGTGTCGTCGACTGAGTCAAGTAGCTCGTCTACCACGCCACCTGAGACCAGTTCCTTCATCTCCTCATCCACAACTTCTAGTAGCTTGTCTAGCACAGGAAGCTCTTCAGTGTCCTCGACCGACAGTAGTAGCTCGTCTAGCTCGTCTACCACGCCAACTTCATCCAGCTCTAGCTCTTCAGCATCGTCGACTGAGTCTAGTAGCTCGTCAAGCACACCGATTGTATCCAGTTCCTCCAGCTATTCATCTACAACACCTAGTAGTTCGTCTGCTAGCTCAAGCAGCTCATCTAGCAGCTCGTCCAGTAGTTCGAGCACATCATCATCTACCACAAGCGACGTATCCAGCACGAGCTTGAGTAGCTCATCTAGTACTTCGACTGAGCCCTCCGCCACTTCAAGCACCTCGTCCACGGTATCAAGCAGCTCCTCGACTTCCTCGGGAGAAGTCCCTGCCACAAGCAGCATGTCAAGCTCTTACATGTCTTCATCGTCCACCATGACACCAAGCTCCTCGTCAGCTACTACGTCATCCGAAAGCTCTTCCAGCAGCTCTTCATCAAGCACATCCGACATATCGAGCTCTTCCAACAGTGTCTCGATAAGCTCAACTAGTAGTACTGAATCCTCATCTTCAAGCAGTGCAACACCTACCTCTAGCGACTCAAGTTCATCTGCAAGTAGTAGTTCGTCATCTTCAACGAGTAGCACAGACTCCTCGTCGTCATTGTCATCAACCACTACTCTAACTCCGACCTCCAGTGCTTCGAGCACATCGGCTAGCAGTTCATCGCCTTCCTCTTCAGCGAGCAGCACCGACTCGTCGTCTTCGCTGTCATCGTCCACTATCATAGACCCGACGACCTCTAGTGCTTCAAGCACGTCTGTCAGCAGTTCTTCGTCAATCTCATTCAGCACCACAGACTCGTCCTCCTCGCTGTCAACAATTACAATCACAGCCTCAACCTCCAGTGATTCGAGCACGTCTACTAGCAGTCTGTCGTCCTCGTCGTCATCTTCTTCGTTGTCATTCAGCACTACACCGATTTCCTCAACCACCGATGCATCGTCGACTACATCCACAACGAGCGCAACACCCAGCCCACCCGTGTGTGGAGGCTTTGGCGTTGGTCTCTGCGACGGCGCCTGCCGCGACCTCGCGACTGACGTTCTTCACTGTGGCCGCTGCAACAACGCGTGTGTCGCGGGCAACCTCTGCAACAACGGAGTGTGCGCGTCTCGTGCATGCGACTCCAACTGCGAATTTGACCGCCTGTGCAACAGAAACGGAACTTCGTCATGCCGGTGCGCAAGGACCATGGATGGCGCTGGTGTCTGTTACGACAAGGATGCGACAAACTGTTCTGACCCAGGTATCCTTCAATGCAGGACCTCAGCCAGCTGCCCGATCGGCACAGTTTGCATGCCTAACGTCTGCGACTGTGCGGATACTACCAAGGGCATCTGCGTTGGCACCACTGGGTGTGGGGACGAAGGATTGTCTGTCATGGGCGGGCTGATCCGAATCGGAGAGATGGAGAAGCGCAGAAGGACCGTCAGAGGGTTGGCGAACCAACTCTAAGGATGGGACGAAAGCATGGTGGTAGCATACGCAGGGAAAAGGGCGGCATCGTGGTTTGTTGTGATTTGGGAATAGTTGGGTGCCTGCCAATGTGCTAGCGGGCGTTGTACAATGGTCTTCACAACACAATATACATCCTTCGCTTCTATACCTACACCGGCAACGGCATCCCGTGTTGTGAATAGCGGTTGGCGTCAGTGCGACATTAAGCTCGCGGTGCATAAAGGCAATTTTTTGTTGTCAAGTGACGCTGCCGTGAGCGGTCAGTGCCTCCGAAGTTAGGTGCTAGCTTCTTTCGCGATGTCAACACACGATAGCGGGTGGTGCCAGTGTAGAGGGTCGCGTGTTTGAAGGCAACAATACGCGACGCGACTGGGGAAACGCAGGTGGTGTGGAGGTGTCCAGATGCAGGCCATCGTAGAACGGCCTTGTAAACCACGGCGAGATATGACGGGTGCAATGTTTAATGTCTAACGCATGAATGTGGCGTCTAGCGGGTCCTAGCGTGCTCCCCACGCGCTGGTGTCGTTGCCGTGGGGATCGCCCGCCATGTCCGCGACGTAAACACAAAGTATGCCGGCCATGTGCCTCATCGCCTCCCCAAATATGCCCGCCATCCTTCTGCTATAGACAACCCACGTTTCAAGCCTTCTCTTCCCGGCTCCGACCTCAGTCGACGCTTCCCCAATTCCCACCTTTGTTGGAGCATCATCATGTCGACGCCGGATATGGCCACCGCCGCACCTTCGCATAGACGGAACAGGAGCGCTGCAGCTGGAGTGCTCAAGTCTATCATCGCGAACAAAGGCCACAAGCGTTCGCCGACCGAGGGCGCTGGGCTGCACAACAACACCCAAATAGCCAGCCCGCCGTACATGCCTGTCTCCAACTTCCAGGCGCCGCTCCTGCCGCCAGACCACCCCCATAGCCAATTGCGCGCGGCAACCCAGACGGAGAACGTCCCCACCAATCCGCCGTCACCGCGCAAGTCGCGAGACGTCAATTCGAGCCCCAAAAAGAGCCTGCACAAGAAGACGCTCAGTTCCGTCTCGCTGCGGTCACTGGCCAAGAAGGAGAACAAGGAGGAGAAGGAGAAGCCCGCCTACAAGAAGTCGTTCGACTCGCGGCGATCTCAGGAAGAGGCCGAGATGGGCGAGAAGCCGAAGAAGACAAAGTCATCCACCAATCTGGCTGCCATGTTTGGCGGGCGCCGGAGAGACAAGTCACCTGTGAAGGAGAGCAGAGACAAGGAGAACACCACACCACCCCGCTCTTCCCACGACAAGGCCCCACCTCGCACTCCCATCTGGGCCGAGTTCAGCTCCCAGCAGGAAGTCACCACCACGAGCAAAGTCCCGCTTAACGATCAGCGACGGAGCGTCGAGGAGGAGATTGCCCTCTACACTCCCCAGGACTACTCACCCACCAAGCAGCGCAACTTCTTCGAGGTCGGTCAGCCAGCCCTCCGACCTGCCCCGAAAGAGCGGCCCAAGTCCATGTTTGCTCCCAAGTCGACTTCCACGGCATCATTGCTTGAGACCTTCTCGCGCAAGCGGAGCAACGAGCGCGTTCCTCTATCCGACACCAAGGGCAACGAGGGACGCACAAGGGAGAGCTCTCCTACAAAGCCGGCGAGACCCGTACTTAGTAGGGCTAGTACCGACACCGGCAGCAAGGACTACAGTCTCAATTCCATGGCGCCGCCGCCGCCGCCAGCCACAACCAAGAAGCAGAACCGAGTCATGGCTGCCGTTGCTGCCTTTAACGGAAAGTCAAAGCAAGCTGACGGTGCTCCGGCGTCTGCCAAGCTCGATCCAAAGGCGGTGGACGCCGAGTTCGAGGAGGTTTTGGTAAGTGCTGTCTGAAGCCACCAATAAATACCTGCTAACGATACCAGGAATCTCGAAACATCCCCACACATCAACGTGCTCAGATGCGGACACTGAAGCTCGAGGTCAAGGCCGACTTTGTTCGCATGCACAAACTTGACATACCCCAGACCTCGCGAACAAACTCCGCCCAGTCTTCCATTGGCGAGAACACCAAGCAGGCACCACAGAAGTCGTCCAAGTCCCGACACGGATCTGCTATCGAGGATGCACAAGATGAGGCGGAAGAGGACAAGTCAGCCAACTCTACTAAGCGTGAGCGACCGCGGAGCCGAACGTTTACCTTCAACAGGAGTGACTCTCCCACGAAGAAGCAGAAGGGCGAATCGGGCGAACGGAAGACGAACTCAAAACCAGCGCCTATCCCCAAGTCTCCGTCTATGAGGTCCCTGAGATCCAATGCTTCCGATCGTTCTGTGTCCAATGGAGCGAAATCGGTCAAGGCCGACGAGTTCATCTCCTACTTGAAGAAGACGCCTAAGCCACAGAACGTCGAAGTTGGCAAGCTGCACAAGCTGCGTCTGTTGATCCGTAACGAGACCGTCGACTGGGTTGACAACTTCATCCAGGATGGTGGTATGACCGAGTTGGTCGCATTGCTCCACCGCATCATGGAGATCGAATGGCGCGAAGACCACGAAGACACACTTCTGCACGAACTCCTTCGATGTCTCAAGGGACTCTGCACAACTGCCACAGCTCTCAAACAGCTCAACGAGATCTCGTCGACACTGTATCCAGCATTACTTGCTATGCTTTTCGACGAAGAGCACAAAGGTCCGAGCGAATTCACTACGCGTGAACTCATCATCGAGATCATCTTCGCTCACATCTCCATGGCACCAGAGGGCGAGCTGGAGACCCGCGCTAAGGAGCTGATGAAGTACCTCAAAGATCCTGTCAAGGAGAAGCAGGCTTCAACTGTTCCGTTCATCCTTCAGATGCACACACAGCGACCCTACCAGGTTTGGTGCAAGGAGCTATCCAACGTCACCAAGGAAGTCTTCTGGATCTTCATCCACCACCTCAACGTCATTCCCGTTCCCCCCAAACCCACGGAAGGAAAGTCGTACGCGAAAACCCACTTCCCGGGCCAACGCGCAATCGTCCCTGCAGCACCATACGTCGGCGGCGTAGAATGGGACGCTACCAACTACCTCGCCACCCACATCGACCTCCTCAACGGCATTATGGCCTCCCTCCCCACCCGCACCGCACGCAACGAGTTCCGCTCCGAACTCAAGATCTCAGGTTTCGAGAAGCTGCTCGGTCACCTCCGCGCCTGCAACCCGAAGTACTATGGCGCTGTCCACGACAGCGTCAAAGTCTGGATTGGCGCCGCCCTCGAAGACGACTGGGACGTCAAGACTGTGCGCATGGGTGCTGGTGATGGCAAGGGCGGCAGCGTGAGTCCCGCTAAGCAGAGCCCGAAGAAGAAGACGGAGCCGCCACCACAGCTCATGGCACCGCCTAAGATGGATGTCGGGCTTGGTCTTGGACTGGGCTTTGAGCGGGAGATTGCTATTGGCAGTACGAACAAAGTGGACGATGACTGGATTTGAGGTGTTCGACTTTGCTATCTGTCCAACATCTACTACCACTTGGATATCAGCCTGATATCTCGTACCCAACAGCCACTCTGGACCATCTCCTCCTTGGATACCACATCAACCCACCACCAACTCAGCAAACCCATCAACACTGCTTTCCCCACCGGCGCAAACACGGATACAACGGCGTTCATCACCTCTCCACTGCATTCCATCTCACATCGTCACATCGTCAAATCAACATCAAATCACAGCATGCATCTTATCCTTTTCATCTCCCCAATTGGATCTCTTTCACGACACTCTCTTTGGCATTCCTGGGGTCATGAACGAATATCTCTCCCTCTTTCCCATCACGACCTTAGCATATGACATGACTCTCACGACCGACACGGCGGGGCAACGAACGCTGTGTTTTACTACCTTCTGACCTTCTTTCCGACGACACAGATACATGAATGGGTCGCGTGTATAGTGTATACATATACTTGTTGTTGCGCTCCTTTTTTTATTGTTTATGCGCAATGTTTGAGATGCATGGGTATGGGCTGGGGGCGTATAATGTTTGATATGGGAGTTTTGATGGGGAGAATTCAAGGCATCTATCTTCAACATTTGGTCGTTTTGTGATGATGATGATGATGATGATGATGATGATGATGATTGATGTGATACAAGTCCTAACCAGGACTCTATTCAGCGTTCTAAGTGGGTATCTGATGTCTGACAACTCCAACTCCGTCATCCTAAGCCATAGCCATGACCATGCCAATGCCGCTAAATGATAAACTCCACACAAATGCCTCAAGCCTCACACTCTTCGTAAGTCATACCTCATACCCCATCAAGCCTTCTTCTTCCCCTTCCTCCTCCCCTTCTTCTCACCCACCTCCACGGTCCCACCCTCAACCTCACCCTCCTGCAACCCCATAACCTCATTCCCCTGCATCTCCTTCAACTTCTCCTGGCCACTGATAAAGAAGCTCAAATCGCGATTCTGCTCCTCGAGATCCGCCTTTTGGGCCTCAAGCTCTTTGACCTTATTCTCAGCCTGCTCAGCCTTCTTCTCCAAATGCTTAATCCGCTCCATCAAGCTCTCATTCACAATCTGCTCTTCTTTGTATTGCTTGGTGAGCTTGCGGGCGAGTTCAGAGGCGGACGTTGCTTTCTGGGCGTTGCGCGCGGATTCGCGTGTGAGAGAGGCGATGGTGGTCGTTGCTTCGGACTGGGAGGTGGAGAGTTGGTCGAGTTTTTGGGAGAGCGAGGCGACGGATCGGGTTGCTTCGTCGGCGGTGGAGGCGGCTTTTGCTGCTTTGTCGACTGCGCGTTCGAGTTGCTCCTCAAAGTATGCGCGTTGAGATTCGAGCTGCGATGTGAGAAGGTAGGCGTATTCCATGCCCATGTTGTCGAGCTTCTCGCGTGGGACGGTGTCGTTGGAGTAGCCGGTCATGCCGGGTGCGCTGAAGGATTGGTTCGAGGCGGGCATGTCGACAAGTTTGCCGTCTGCTTTGTTTTGGATTAGGCGGTGGACGTAGCCGTCGCCTGCGTAGTCCCAGACGTGTTGGGTTACCACATCCATTGCATAGGTATGACTTGTTGCTTCGTAGTGAGCGAATGCGTGTGCTGAGTCGTAGCGGCCACATCCTATATTACCGCAGATTAGGCAGATCCAAAGGTTTTGTGTGGACCCGCAGACACTGCACTCGTTGTCTGGACTTTCGCCGTCTGCGCTGCGATTTGAGGTAAAGGCATCGTTTTGTGTGTAGCGACAGACTGGGCAGCCTGAGCCTCTCCATTTCTCAAGACAGGCGCAGTGGAAGACGTGCTGACAGAGAATGGTGAGGAGGCCAGTCGTTTCGTCCATGCGTTCGAGGCAGACAGGACAGGTTGGTAGCTCTACCAAAGCAGGTGTAGGTGGAGCGTGTGGTTTCGCGGTAAGCGAAGTAGCGATTGATGGTCCGTCGACTGGTGAAGGTACGGTGCTAGCTGGCGGAAGAGGAGCTGTGGGCTGTTTGGTCGGCGCGGGCGCGAAGGGATCGTTGGTGAGGTCAGGATACGAGGTGGGATCGCGGTTTGAGTCGCCGTTCTGGAAGTTGATCGACTTGACAAAGACGACATGACAGTACTCAGGCTGTTTCTGTTAGCTGCGACCTCTTGACTATAACAGTCCTTTGTCTCACCTCCATACTGTTGAAGGCCTTGCCATCCCATTCTTTTCTCCACGCCCTCGCTTTCTTGGCTTCCCGGAACTTCATCAGCACCATGTATTTGTTCGCTCTGCTTGTCCGGATGAGCCTGAAGTGCGAGACGTCCTCCCTCGTCTGCTCGCCCATGAAGCCGAGAAAGTCGGAAGGTGTCATGTATGAGGGCACCGCCAGTATACACAATGTAGTGCAGTCTTCTTCGTTGAAGTCCTTGCTCGCTCCATCCACCTCATCGTACAAGCCTGGCGTGTCCTGTCCATCGCGATAGAGATGCACCACGCCCCAGCCGACGTCTGTGTCTTTTAGATCTGAGGGTATGAACTTGCCCTTGGTCGCGAGACCACCGGCATTTGGGGCGTGTGAGGGGTGCTTGAGGCGGGCTCGATCGAGTTCAGTGCTGGTGCTCGGGTTCATGTCGATGCTCAGTATGGAGATGGTGTCGAAGCGCCAATCCCTGTGTGCAAAGCTTTGTGTTCGCCTGTGTCCCGGCCTCTTGGGCGGTTTGACGACGGGTACCGGGCTATCGTGGTGGTCTGAGGAGGATGGTCGCGTGCGATGACTGAACCGGCGGGCGGTAGATGTGCGATCACGGACAGCAGCAGCTTGGCCGGCCTCACTGCTAGAAGCTATGGGTTTTGGGAGGTTATTGTATGCGCGTGATGCCGGGGGATAGGAGCCCCAGGACGCTCGGCGATGGGCTGGAAGCTTCGAGTCGAAGATGTCGCTAGGTAGAAACGTCTTGTCCGGCGACGAGCGCGAGGGATACAGCTCGAAGGTAAGGTGGAAAAAGTACGCCGGCATCAGGTCTTATTGGTAGGTGCCTGCATTTCCAACGAGTGCGATTGTGAACAGAAGTTTGGAACGTAGGCAACGTGTTTGCGACCTGAGCTACGTGACTTGCAGCCGCGGCAGTGGGGCAAGCGCAAGCGCGTCATTCCCGCATCTCTCCGCAAATGTTGGCGCACCAAGACGTGCACGACTTCACGACAAGGCACATTTGGAGGATTCTAGTGATAGAATTATATTTCATTCTTGCCCTGTACCTATGCAGTGCAAGCCTAGCTAATCCTCATAATGGTGCTCGCCCATGACGTGCCCTTAATGCTGTCCTTCGGATATAGTAAACGCCATAGCTATGCAATAGTAAAGAAAATGTAAAGAAACACGCTATCCCGACAAAGATGTCATTTCCCACACTATGTGTACGGTAAGAAAGACGGCCAAGGCCGAGCCAAAGAAAGGCATTTCATGATGCCACCTGAATAAATAAGATTCGATTGCCGTGTCGTCAAGTCATTCGCCAGAACGCGTAGTGGGTATCGCTTTTGAACATGGCCAAAACATTCGCGCCGGTCCCAAGTGGTAATGGGTGTAACTGTATTTCATGTAACTCGCAGTGTTGAATGGTAGGACAGGTCTAAGCCTGGTCCACGTCGATTAGGTCGCCCTCGGTGATATCTTCGATCTCGTGGCCCTTGGAGTTGACGACAATGCGTCTTCCTCGTTGGTCGGCGGGAACTCCGTCGCGTGAAGCACCAAAGTCGAGAACCTGCAATGGTCAGCTAGTAATCCGTGAAGGCTGTTCTTAGTTGCTTACCTCGATGTATGTCATGCTGTTGCGCTGAACAGCAGCAACACAACGACGCTCATTGAACTTGACCTGCCATACGCCGCTCAGGTCTGTCAGCAAGTCCTTGACAAACTCGCCCGTCTTCACATTCCACATCTTGAGTGTGCGGTCAGAGCCAGATATGACTTTCTGGCCGTCGTGCTGGAAGCATGTGATGGCACCTGTGTGAGCACATAGTCGGCTTTTGCATTGTCCATTCTCTGGGTCCCAAATTCGGAGAGTTGAATCAGCAGCCGCTGATACCAAGCGCTCGTGGCTCAGATCCAGAAGACCGACGAGCGAGGTATGACCCTCAAGCGTGAAGATGCAGGCCCCTGTCTCCAGAGACCAGACTTTGACCATGTTGTCCATGGAACCACTAATGCAGCGGTTGCGTGCATGGTCGAGAACAACACTGTACACCTTCTGCGAGTGACCTTGAAGGCGTTGCAGAACCTCTCCGGTAGAGATTTTCCACACTCGGACGGTGCAGTCGTAACTGCCACTGACGAGCGTGTCACCGTGTGCAGCGATCGCGCGCACTGAATGATGGTGTCCAGTAAGGGCGCGTATGAAGTACGGATTGTCGTGATCATTGGATGACGCTGCAGCCTGCATGATGCCCCGATCGCCAGGCTTGGGAAGTTTCCAGACGCGAAGGGTAGAGTCTCGCGAACCCGTAATAATGAGCTCCTCCTTCGGCATCATGATTGGCTGGCCGTCAAGGGTCTCGCCAATCTGAGTTGGCTTGAGTATTACTAGGCATCTGACGGTGGAGGTGTGACCCTGGAAGACATGCGTGCACTTTCCCTTTTCAATATCCCACACGCGCACTGAGCGATCAGTGGAGCCGGATACAAGTGTATTGCCCTCGTACTGAAGGGCCCATACGCCGCCTTCATGCCCCTCAAGGCGGCTTCGTAGCGCTCCTGTCTTTGTGTCGTAGACATTGATGTTCGTATCATCACTGCCTGTCAAGATTTTGTCTGTGTCAAACTGAAGACATGTCACCACGTGGCGCTGATGGGCGCGGAATGCAATGTGCTTCGGCTTCGTGTCAGTCGCCATCCAGCTCTTGCGGATGAGATGATGACGTTGATATAGAGACTTGAAGAGATGCATAGCACGAAGACCAGGCAAACCAACATTGGGATCAGAAATGGCGGCCTCTGCTCGCTTGGCAAAAGCATGCGGGCCTTCTTGGCAGTCTGCGGGGCGCGAATAGAGGGCCATCTGTGTCCTAGTAGAGGGGCGGCTCTTACGCGCTTTCTTTCCGCTGCCGCTACCATGTTTACTGGTAGCCTTTCTCTTCTGACGTATGGAAGACGATCGTGTCACTGCGCCCTCCTGGTCTAGCAAACCACTGGAGAAGCCCGAGCTGGAAAAGCCCGAATGGCCTTCGTTGTCAGATCTAGAGGCTACCGATTGAGCTCTGAGATCGCGCTCGTAGCTGTCAGCAGAATGAGGATACTGCCAGCCCCAGCCTTCTTGCACAGCGCGCTCCAATTCGCCATACGGCAGCTTGTATCCATCCTTGTCCAACAGATCTTTCCATGCAGACTCGTGGGTATCGGTGAGCTTCCGCCAGTATTTCGACACCTGTGCGGCACTGCACATGCTCTTAACGTCCAGATACCCGATAATCTCAAGGCTGAGCTCCGTAGGTAACGAGGCGATGAAGTCGCGTTTGAGGGCGGGATTAACAACATCCGCAACGAAGTGTAAGGTCGGCTTCTTACATCTTCTGAGCATCTGGTACAGGACGTACGATTTCATCTGTTCCGGCAGAGCATCGAACGAGTTCAGCATGTTCGGTATGTCCATGGCGGAGGGTGTGGGTAGTTGCGTATTAGAGCTGTCGGCGTTGTCACGCGGTCGAGAGCCAGGAAACAGGGTGAAATCTCCCACGCGTGAGCTGCTTGAGGTGCCCTGTGACAGATCAAGCCCGGAGACGTCGTTCGCATCGAAGTCCATGTCTGTGCCCGAGAAGGAAGCCCCGCCATTTGTTTGTTGGGCGAGGTTTGCGGCCGCAGTGATGGGCGACAAGCTCGGACTAGGTAGGCTCGCGTCTTGTGCAGACGTTGTGTCAAGAGGCGTGAGGCGTGAGGGGGTGAAGGACGCGTCGTCGGCGAAGGGTCCAACTGGTTCCAGATCAGATTCGGCGATTGGGGGTGTAGCAGCTACGCCGGGGCCATCGAATACACCTGTGGGGAAGGCGTGCTCGGGAGAGGGCTCGCGATGGTCCGAAAGACTACCGCTGGAGTGTGATGACCGAGCGCCTGATTCTTGGAGCCGCCATCTGGGCGGCGTTTGGTCGGGTGCAATTTGCTGTGACGTAGTCCGTAGCTTGGAGTTGTGTAGATGGGCGGCGGTGCGGAGTTTTGCCAGTTTGGATGGTCCAGAGCCTGCCATGTCGGTATCGGGTGTGGCCAGCTGCGGATCCTCCATGTCATCCGAGGTGGGACGGGAGGCCGTACGTGTAACGTTCTCGTGCTCCAGCCGGGGCTTCTTACTTTGGCGATGTATGCCGAGAAGCTCGACGGCCTTTGTTATTGACGGTGGCGGCGGCGAATCGTCTGCATTATCCCGTTTCCGACGGCCAGATACCGAGCGTAGGCCTTGGTGAGGAGCGTGTGGTTTCGGACGCGTCGAGCGGCTGGGTGTCGTGAAGACTGGCGGGCCGTCATACGACTCGACCTTTCTGAGGGTGCCGTTGGTCGATCGTAGATTGCGTTGGAGTGATTTCTGCTACAATAGAAGCGTTAGCCGGTGGTTGGCAGCTGCGACGTGAAGGGCCTCAGCCGCAGGCATATCCCTGGCATGAGGAATGCGTACCTCTCGCACCTTTTCCGATGCAGCGTCTGCCTCCTCGAAGCAGGCCAAGTTGCCTCCAGATTCAAAGTAGAACTTGCGTATCGACTCGGGAGCCTGGACGTGGGCCAGCGGGTAGTCCTTGGGGTCCCGCTCGCTAAGGCTGCCGGGGGCGTTTACACACAAAGGCGGGAACGTGGTCGTCGTGGTGTATGTGGTCGTGACTACGGTGGTCTTGGTGGCAGGCGCGAAGGAGAACTGTCCCATGGTGGCGTACGGGTCTGTGGCTTCGGTGTGCACCGTCTTGGCCACGCCGTCAGCGCCGGGGCCAGCAGCGTTGGAGGCCATGTTGCACGGACGTGACGAGAAGCTGAGGGTGTGAAGGCTCTTTCGGGATCCAGTAATTCGTGGGAGGATGTGCGTGGAGAGCCTGTTCGGGACACTTGCCGAGTGAAGAGGCTCGCGGAAACGTTAGTGGTGTTGTTCCGGGACCTGAGACCTCGGGATCAAAGCGCGAGCTCGGAGGAGCAGAAGACAGGCGGGAAGAGCAGCGACTCTAGTAATCGTACATGTCGCCAGCCGGTACGCTCGTCGTGTACAGGCTCGTGGTGGTGGTCACGGGAACCTGGTACTTTGCTATCCGACGTGTCGCCGCTGACGGAGAGATAGGAGCCGCTGGAGACGTGATGCCGTGGCGGAACGCGAAGTGCAAGGTGGCGGTAAGGTCGGCACGCGGTGGATCAGGAAGACGCCAGAAACGAAGGTTGGTCGTGTAGTCGTGTAAAAGGCAGCGTGGTGAACTGGCAGTGGTGGTGGGGTCTAAGGTAACGAGAAGGCACCTGGTCGGTGGGCAAAGCTAGCTTCCTCCATCCATGCAGGTGTCAACCGCCCCAATTCACACATATCACGCGCAGCGGCAAGCTTCTAATCTTTGCAGCGGGGCAAATTGTCCCAGCCATACTCTCCAGCATGTAGACACCACCTCAAAACATCGCAACGCCCTCTTTCCCTCCATGTCGAAGCTATGGTTCTCATGCCATGAGCTATCGCTGCACCTGCGCAGCTTGCGGGCGGATAGTGTTCTCGCGTCACTCGGCTTAGGCGCCTTCGTGTGATTCGATCACTGCCCCATCGACTTTTCCCGCCGTGGCAAAATCACAACAACAAGCGCCGCCCTGATGCTTTACGATACTCCGCATTGTCATAGGGAAAAAACTTCCATAACGAACGATACCTTGGATCCTTTCGATTTCGGAGATTAGACGCTGTGTATGCGTCGGACACATAGGCAGCAGTGTTGCAGGAGACAGCTGCACGACGCCAGAAAGCGCCACATTGCATGACACATTTGGACAAACACAATACTCAATGGTTAACACAGCAGCTGCATCAAGCAAGAGTGACTGTCAAGATGCAGTCGCAAAGACATGGACGGTTGCGTGGTTGAAAGCCCGGCTGATGGCCACATTGCCACATTGGCGGCTTGCTATGATCAGATGTCTTCTCAATACATATCGAAGGAACGTACGTCCAACATGTGGCGTGACTCACTTGAATCTGCCTAGTAATAGGACACCGTCGTTGCCCAGTTGTTGTATAAAAACACGTGACGACGTTCTTTCATCGTAACGTGACCAGCAAACTGAGATAATGCTTTCCGCTAGAACCGCACATGACGAGCTGTCGTCGTATGATTTGTCTACCATGACCTGCCTTCTCATCTAAGGCAGCATCCTTCATCAAACCCTTTCGTTGCGTTTGCTCCAGCAACGTCAGCGTCTTCGTCCTAGACTGTCTGAGAAAGCGACAGAAAGAGATTTCGTTGTCTGTTCGTTGTCGTTCTCTCCGCCCAATATAAAAGGAGGAAAGAGATCTTGATACCCAAAACGCAGTTACTTATCATCGTTCCAGTCGACCAGGCTCCCGGGCTCGGAGTGACTGAACGATAGTTTGAGAGGAATATGTTTTAACTTTTGGATGTGCATCTAGTGTTTCAGCTGCAACATTTCGGACATTCATCACAGAGAATTCGTATTGTCGGGTCCATGTTCGTTGTTCGGGTTCGGGTGGAGGAGTTTGTAAACTCTACTACTCGGACTGCAGATGATGTGTGCATCTCCTCCGTACGGCCAGCCAGGACCTACTCCGAAGTCAACCATAGGGAGCAAACATGAGCGCACCGAGCAAGCTGAAACGACCTTCTCAAGCCCGAGAACCCATAGTACCAGCCGGACCTGCCAAAAATTCGCGGTGCAATCTATATTCGTAGTAACACGGCGAAAACTCCGAAAGCCCCTCAACGCCACCAGATGCGTTCGGCTGCGTTCTTTCAGCCTCGTTCTTGGGCGGGAACAGTTTTGTCACGCTGACATGTTGGGTTCGACTGACCCTGAAAGTAGGGCTGTCGTTCACGTCCGGGCCTTCTTTGAACGGCCTTTCAAGGTTTAATGTAGGGAACAGAGCGTTGGACAGCAACACGCGACAAGCTCTCGCATCAGCACTACGTGAAGTATAATGATTATGTTCGACGCGTACAGGACATGGACCACCTTGGTATCACAAACTAGCTGTGATGGACTTCCAAGGGGATCGCGCTTTCGTCGCGAGGAGATAGCCGGATCGGCGAAGAGCCGGCTTGGCTTTCGTCCGTCCCCACGAAGATGTCCATTGATCACCGTGGAGCAATCCACACCATATCCTTATAGAGACGACCTGCGACCAGAAGGGAAGGACGCGGGCGTATCACACAGTTCATCTCGCATCCCTGAGTATGCTCGACAACCCGAGATACCCAAGATACCCAATGTACCCAACATGCGGACGCCTCAGCGCTGCTACCCGCCTTGTGTCGCAACTCTGTGGATGAACGCGAAGCGAAATGCGACTTGTGCGACATCACCTGCGATGACGGTGAGTCGGAAGTGAACCCGATGGAGGAGGCAGTATGCAGGTACGAAGGGTGGAAATTGGCGACTTATGGAGGACCACGATAACACGACCATTCTCGACTTCCTCGTCCATATTCGGCATGCCACGAGCTAGAGCCTTGGCAAAGGCTAGCATGTCGCCTACTGAGCATGGGCGATCCTACAAACTTCGGTAACGCGAGCTCTAGCTTTGCTCAACCACTTGAGCAATTTCTTTCCGACAGATCCAGCCTCGTCTGATGCGGTGACGGGCAACAGGCGGATATGCTCGAGGCCGTGCCTCTCCGCACTGCTGCACATTCGGGTCGCGGCGGCGTGCTGTCATCTGACTGGAACCCAGGGAATGCATGTATGCGACGCAGCAGTGTGGCTTTTGGCTCGGAGCTTGTGCCTTGCTGCGGTCCGCACGTCTTGCCGAATGGCATGATACCCCTGAAAGCCTACTACGATGCGGATCCTACCACCACCAGCTCCTCACAAGCGGTAAATTCAATGGATCCTTGGGTTAATACTCGCGGGTTATACCCGCCATCGCCCATCTTCCTGGGAGATCTCGAAAGCTGGTTCTTTACTCCGCCATCCCCATCGCCCCCAGAAGCAGCAAACTCGATAGTCCTGAAGCGGCGCTGCATGACATCGTACTACTTTACGCCGCGCTGCCGTTCCTGCAGATAGCACTCAACCAGTCCACGCCCGATTAGCGCTCAGTGCAGCAGCGCAGTAGGGGCCCGCAGTTGAACCCTTGGATTCCTCAATTGAGGTTGCCGGATCTCTCCTACCGCATATCGGATCGTCATCTGCACCAAAAAGCAAACATCACTTAATGCTGTCAGCGCTGGCCGGGGGCAGCACAAGACGTGCCATTCGACGCAATTACACCCTATGTGGGCATTGACTTCGTAGCGCCAACTGAACTGGTCCCGCGATTCAGTCTCGACTGTCATATCTCTAACTACCCTGAGTCGCGCCCACGCCGGCACCACAGCCACCAATCTTCCACCATCATGGCTCGCGGCGACCGCGCACCCAAGAAGTTTTCCTTCCCTCTACCTCGCCGCTCGCGACCCAAGAACGACGACCTCGACGCCCGCCCTGCACCGTCGATTGCCTCTGGCCCCGACAGGCCCTCTCGTCCCGAAGACACCTCCAGCAAAGCACACCGAATCCTAGGGACGTCCGATGTCCTGCATCGCTCGGCATCTCGGCAATCGACAATACCCCCAAGTCCTGGATTCATGTCCATCACTGTGTCTGAGGCTAGCTTCGGCTCCCACATCGACGAGAGAAACACGGCTACACCCACCGAGAACGACGGATACCTGAAACGTCCCACCATGGCAACACGAGCCTCGTCGAACGTTCTGGGACGCACATATACTGGGGAAAGCAGGCACGGCTCGGATAGCAGTTCCCTCCATCGCCGGCTACATCCTCAAACGTCGAATTCGACCCTTCGATCACATTATGACGCAAAGAAGTCGCCGCTCGCCATCTCCCAGCAGACTTCCGACTCGGCAGTCAGAGACAGGGCTTTGCGAAGAGGGTATCCCCCGGTGTTGACGGATCATGGTTACGACAATCACGAAGCGAGTCCAGTGTCGCCTGTCATCCTGGAGGAAACGAGGAAGAAGGAATACCGAAAGAGTAAGCCAGCCCGGTTAGATCTTACAAAACTGTTCCCCAAGCCGAAGGATGGGAGCGACGGTCATGGCGGTACGCTGCTTTCGCCTGCCAAGATGGTCAACTCGCCGGCCGCCATGTCATCCACCTCTGAGTTCTTTCCTCGCCCAATGACGAGGCAACCGACGCCACAAGTACAGCCTGCCAAATTACAGAAGAAGAAGAGCATGAAGTACCATAATCCTCCAGTAAAGCCTCAACCTCAACCTCAACCTCAACCTCAACCGCATATGAGTCCAGTACGCAAAGTCAAGAGAGATCAGTATGATAATGCCAAGATTCACGTACGCCGTCCACCAAAGGGCGTCCAGCACTGGTTCGATGCGCTCGATGAGGATAGTGAAGAAAGTGAGGAAGAAGTGCGCGACTTAGAAGACAAACGCCACAACAGCGTCGCGACTGAGCCAGACCTTGTGCCAGACCTTGTGCCTACTGCTATCGAGGCTTGGCAAGTAAGGAATGCATCTCGTTGCGATAGTCGATCGCAGAATCCCACACCAACGTTTAAGAGGGACAGTTTTGCGCTTGAGGATATCGTCGACATTACCCATCTGACCTCACCCAGCCAGTACTCTTTGGACACATATCGCTCACATACCTCAGCAAAGACCAAGACGTCAGCTATCTCCAAGACTAATCTCCAGGACTCTAGTGTCTTGTCTTTCTCCTCGTCTGAGGATGAAGCTGACGACCGGTCACGATCCCGCAAGGGCAGCGTCCGCAAGAGCATGGATAGCGCCGACTACACAGGGGAGATCGTTATCGGTCGGGCGCAAGCTTACGAGCTTCCACCACATCGCCGTATGCAGTCGTCGGGAAAACTGAGCATACTCTCAACGTCAACAAACGCCACTATCGAAGTAATGTATGCACCAGAACCGCCTTTCCCTTCGTATCATCACCCTCGTGGTAGTACCTACAGCGGTGGCAGATTGTCCAGCCACGTCAGGCAGCCCTCGATCATTCACGAAGACGACGACATCCGTCCAAAGACCGCTGTTACCCAGCCGATTTCACCAACGGCACACAGTGTTGTGAGCACGCGCACGTCAGCCAGCGCACCACAGGCTCAGTCCGAAGGGTCACGCAAGTTTATGCAAGTCACGCCAGAAGAGGAGGCTTTGTTGGAGCTGATGAGGAAGAAACGCGCCGCTATGAACAAACAGATCGAATCATCGCAGTCATCTACACCGGAACAAGATCGGCATCAACACAAGTCAACTAAACGTCCTACACCGCCGCATCGCACGTCTGCCTCTCTTGCAGAAGGTATGTCTCCCAGCTCTGCGCGAATGGTTGAGTCACGGACCAAACACCGAGCACCCACGAGTGCACCTTGCTCGATTGCGCCATCACGTGGCAGATCTTCGACGACAGAGAGCCGTGCAACTACAAGTCGACTCCGCGACACCTCGGCCAGCACCACTTGGTCAGATCGAAACTACTCGCCTGTCAGTCGCGGGAGAGTGTCGCACCAACTGCTCACCCCGTCCGTGTTCTCGCCTCAGGACATGTTGTCTCCCCCGTCTCCACCGCTTGCTGCGAGCTTTGCATCGCCTACTACCACTGGTCACCCATCTCCCCTGCCATCGCCCATGACGCCTGCTCTTTACGTCGATGAGAGAGACGTCGCTGTGAAAGTTGCGAGCAGCGACACGAGCAACGAGCTTGACGAGCTAGCTATGCTCGATCACGGTATCATGCGTATGCCCTCCGTGGGTGCGAAGTCTGAATCCTCCCACCGACGACGTAGGACCGCATCCAGCGACGCCGAGATAACCTTCCCGGTGCCGCCCACATCCACCAGCTTCCGCGACCTGACTCCAGTCTCAGAGGCCTCGTCTCGCGCTCCCAGCATCATCGAACCCGCACTCCCAAAGATACCGAAGAAGAACGCGCGACACATCAGCGAACTCGCGCTCGCGAGCATTGAAACGCGGAGTCGGCAGAGCAGCATTCGTTCTACTGAATCCCGTACGTCGGTTTACTCTCAGTCATCGAGCTACTACAAGCCCGCCAGCAAGGGGAGAGCACGTCATTTGAGCCCAGACGCCAATGTTACGAGCAGTCCCAGGATGACGAGTAATGATCGGGATAGGGACAGCGTCAGTGATGATGTCTTGGCTGCCTGGGGCAGTCTGGGAGGGACGTACTAGACTTCTACTTTTTTCTTTTCTCCTTGTTTCATCTGACCGTTCTATTGGATTCGGCTACGACTCTTCTTTCCAGCATTCACATCATTCCCATTTCAGCGGTATGATACCCCTCCGCTTCTTACCCGCCGCGCATAGTTCAGTCGGCCTATTCACCTTAACTTGTAAACCTAAAGTCGCTATTTGTTGTACGATTTCCTTTGTCGCTTTTTATCACTGCATCGCCTTCTCAGGGTTTCCAGCATCAGATGCATGGGTTTCGTTACCACTATTACCATTATCGTATGAGGACGGGGGCTTGGTGATGAGGTTGGGCCATTCACATTCCCATCATAGATACTTTCCACGACTCGTAACCCGAGTCTTCAACCTAGAGTTGAGTCGCACATCACATTGCGCTCGACAGTCTAATCACATGACTTTTTCCAACGCAACTCATATTCCATGCCATGTTTTTTGTCATGTTCCCCCACCCCCATGATGCGTGCACCCCTTTTTTCCTTCTCAAACGACTTTCTTTTTTTGGAAAACACCAGCATGTCATTGTAGGGCCGTGCACCCGGCCCTATCTCGCTTCTGCACGCCCCGTGCGACCCCAACGAGAATGGGAAGGAGAATGAAAGTGGCGGACGCAATGCAAGCATCAAGGAAGAATGCAGGATGCAGCCAGCCGTTCAACCATTTTCCGCGTTCCCGACCCGTTGGGAAAAAGCGAAAAGAGGGCTGTCATGCTTTTTTGATTGAGTCGGGTACCTCGTCCACGCATGTTGGCGGTGTGTTGTGTCACATTGGTCGGGCATTTTCGAGCGTTTGCTTTTTCGATCATATCCACCGCGTTTGTGGAGAGAGGTCGTCGTGGTGGTGTGAGGGCGTCTGCTTTGGGATGACGAGAATGAGGGGAAGGTGGGGAGCATGCTGATGGGGGTTACTTGTTCGGGACGTTGAGGTGGGTTTGTTTGTTACTTTTGTCGACTGCGAGGATTATTCTTTTCGGGATCGTGTGAGTTCGCTGAGTTGGAGAGAGTGCTGAGTACGCGAGTTATTGTGGTCGTTCTTGCGACTGCTGTGGCGTCTTATTACGACGTGCATGTCGTTAGGGCTCAGTAGGTTGTTCGATGGATGGCTACAAGGCCTTCCGTCTCTGACTTCTTCGATACGTCTCTAGTCCTCGAATCCTTGTGGTTGGAAGTATCAACGTAGTTGCTCATGAAGCGAACAAACATTACTACTATACAGACTGACGATCGAAAGTCTGATACACGAACAACGGAACACTTATATATCAAGCATCTTATTAACTTTTCTCGATACTGCAGTTGACATGCCTCTCAAACACTATGCAATCCAGCCCAACATCGAGATACTTTCCTGCTGTCAGCAGTAAACTCATGCACTTCCACACTACCCCCCCACCAGCGCCTCACACCCCCACCTACTGACCCTGAATCTGCACCGCAACACCCCCCTGAGGAATATACGCAGCCCCAGACACCGTATTATCACCCCTCGTACACCGATCCATGATAACACCAGCCGACCTCGCGATATCATTACTAAACCCGCGTGTTAGCACTCCATACAAACCATACCAATCACAACCAAGAATAAAATGAGAGATAACTCACCAATTCACACTCTTAGGAGCATCATCCCTCCCCCTAACACTAACCACATCCGCACTACCCAATCTACACTGCACGCGAGCGGTAAACCCATCAACGCTACACTCCTGCCCCGCATTGCCCCTGCCTGCTAGATCATTAATACAAGCCACGGCGTCGGGCACAGAAGGGGGTCGGGAGGAGAGTTGTTGGCAGTTGCCGAAGGCTTGGCGCTTGTCCAAAGTAGCATCGTTGGTGGAGAGGTCGGGATTGAGATTGGGGTTTGCGGCGTTGAAGGCGGCAATCGCTTCCTCGGGGCTCATGGCATGCGCTGGGTCGGCGATCAGGCTGTCGACCCAGGAGGTCCAGGTGAATGTTGAGCGGGGGGGTTTGAGGGCGGTGCTGCTGCCGAGGGTGGCGAGGGTGAGGGTTGTGAGGAGGACTGTTGTCTTCATGTTGGGTGGGTTGGTGGCTGGTGTCGTTGAATAGTGTGAGATGACTGCGAATGTGAAGGACTTGGGCGCGGCGTCCGTGAAGTCATTTATACCCATCTCACCTCCCACATCACCATAGACCACCGCATGAAACTTTCTCTCAGGCCTCCAAGGCAACCATATCGTGAAGTTTCCACTCCCATACCGGAGAGATCCGGTGTCAGCCCGGGGACCTTCTTGGGTTAATCGGCGAGCATGAGGATAGAGCAGCGACATAGTTCCTCATAGTAAAGACAACAGACAACCAATGACAAAGGGAATCTGATTGCCGAACACGTAACACAGCCACTGTACCGGTTCTTCAGGCTACCCATGTGGCAAAATACTCGGAGAATTGAGCGCTGAACCATCTCGCCATGAGAGTACACTCAAGGCCACCCGTATACAGGGGGGGGTAGAGATAGCAAGTGGGGATGTAGGCCTTCTGTTTGTTCGACAAGGCCGTACTTCCGAAGACGGCACTGACATCGGATGGGAGCCTCAAGAACGTCAGGAAGCAAACTACGGAAGACTTCAAAAGCCTGTTACTGTGATTCAGCCCTGGAATAGTTCGTTCGATCGATTGTCAACTCGAATGACGTCGTCGTACGGCAGTCTGTGAGGGTTGTGAAAGGGTAGACCATGGTGTGCTGCGGTCCGAATACGCGGAGGCATTGGAGCAATGTGGGGGCGCTAGTAACGTCTATCTTGTAAGGCGTCCTACTTTGTACGTCTCCTTCTCTGGGCGCTGAGCAGTGGTCAAATCTACGTTGAAGAAAACGTTTTGCATGAATAAATGCGGTACCTGTCCACCTCAATCTTTGTTCCGCTCACTCCATGGACCGCTCATCACAGGGGAACAACAACGGACAGATTCGTCTGCGATCTTATGCTAACATCATTTCAATTGATAAGCACAGCGTATACATTACTTTATATGCAGATATGCTTTCCACTATAGCAGCGGCGATGCAACGCCAGTACATGTGTTGCAATGCAAGTCCCAAACTCCGCGTGTAATGCGTGAATGATAACGGATCCAGAAGAGTACAAAGTGGGTATATAGAAATACAAAGTGTAAGAAAACGAAGTGAAGTTTAAACGTAACATGTCGATGCAGTCAAGCGACTCGGCGTTATTGTGGCGTCGTCATAGTGCGGGAGAGTTGAGAACGTTGTGGCATAGCGTCTTTGCGTAGCTGCCGGACAACGGCTTCGAGCTTTCGTCGTTCTTCTTGTTCCGCCTGTATAGTGTTAGTGTTCTGCAAAAGAATCGTGTGTGGAAGTGACTTACCCTCAGCGCCTTCAACCCCTCGGCCGTCCGATCCCTCATCATCTTCCTAAAGTCTTCTCTCAGCATGCGAATACTAGTCGCGCCCATGTCAAGCTGTGCAGCAGCGCCATTCGGCATGCCGGGCCCTGGACTCCTAACCCCGAGCCACTTGACTTTCTCGTCACTGAGCTCGCGCTCAAGAGCCTCCTTTTCGTCGCGCAGCTTGTCGATCTGCGCTTCAAGGACTTCGCGGTCCTTCTCGTTTTGGATGGCGTCACGAGTGAGGGCTTCGTACTCGGCAGCCATGCCGGACAGCTCGGCCTTGAGGTTGCGCTCGGATTGCCGGGCTTCGGCCTCGGATTGTGAGGCAACGTCTTGCACTTTGCGGAGCGCTTCTAGTTCGCCAAGGAGCGCTTGGTTTTGCTCGGTGAGCTCGTCGAGCTCTCGCTTGATGGCAGGGTTGGCAGCGGAGTCAGCGGCACGTTGCGCGCGCGTACCGTAAGCGCCGTCGAGCTCTGCTTTGGCGAAAGTGAGTTCCGTTGTAAGACGAACAATTTCGCCTTCGAGGTTGCGGAACTCTTCCTCCTTAGCATTGAGGGAGTTGGTTGCGTCCAGAGAGCGAGCCTCGGCAGCTTGCTTCTCGGCAGTTACGGCTTCGAGAGCAGCTGCAGTCTCTGTGATCTTCTCCATAGAGTTGGCGAGTTGAGCCTGGATCGTTGCCGCCTCGGTACGAGCTTCGTCCTGGGCATCTCTCAATTTGGTCTCTAACATGAGAGCCCGTTCCTGCGCGTCCCGAACCTGGGCTTCGTAGCCAGCAGTGCGTTGCTCAGCCTCTTGTGACGAGACGTTGTATGCGGTGTTGCGCTCCTGGTGATCCTTCAGCTCCTCCTCAAATGTGGCAGCACGCTTTTCAGCCTCTTGCATCTTGCTCTGGAAGTTTACAGCTTGCTCTTGCACGTCCTTGAGCTGGTTCTCGTACGCGACAGCACGTTGCTTGGCCTGGTTCAGTTCAGTCTCAAAGGCCATCACTCGCTCTTGTACGTTGATCAGCTGAGCCTCCAGACCAGCATTCCGCTCCTGCGTCTCGCGCAAGATCTGTGTGTCAGTCGAGACCTTCTGCTCATCGAATTGCTGTAGCTGTTCCATTGCACGCTCGAGCTCACCCTCCATGGACTTCTTCTCAGATCTTGCGCTGAGCAAATTGGTATTGAGTCGCTCGAATTCTGCCTCTTTTTGTGCGTCCGACTTGCTGTTCAGTTCACGTTGCTGCTTGATCTGGCGCATCAGGACTGATTGCTTGTCTTTGAGACTAGTCGCTCGCCTGAACAGCAATTGCACTTTTGAAGAGAAGGCCGGAAGAGAGTAGCTCTCGTTGACGTAGTCTTCGTCTGGCGAAACTTGTTCATTGGCATCGGGATCTTCGGCAAGCAACTGGCGCCGTTCACGTTTGCGTTCGCGTGCTTCTTCCTCGCCAGTGAGAATAGTCTGCCAGAGGCCCATGATTGTAGTCTCGTACTTCTCAGCCTTCTCAGCGCTCTCGGACTCGTCGACCGCAGGACCCTTAGAACGAAGCTCATTGATTTGCTCATTCATTGCGTACTGGATCTGCTCGAGGTTGTAGAAGGAGTCTTCCATGTAGTTGAGCTGTTCGGTAGCACCACCGCCGGTGATGGCGGGTGGCGGTGGGATCTTATCGGACTGTTCGTTTTCGGATCGAGATATCACCGCATACAGTTGGTTGTTCATGCCTTCCAGACGGCCCTCGACTTCGCTCAGAGTATGCCTTGAGTTGTTGCGAATGTTGGACTGTTCAGCGGCGATGCTGCGGAGGCCCTGATCGAGGAAATCGAGTTGGCGATCCAGGGTTGACGCGTCAGGCGTTCCTTCCAGAGCCAGCGGTGGCAGTGAATAGTCTTCGTCACGCTCGGGGTTCGCCTCGATGATGAGTGATCTCAGACGCTCGTTGATCTCCTGGAGTCGCGTGGCAGTCGCATTCAAGGCTTGATCGTGACGCTCTGTGGAGGCTGTGAGATGCTTGCCGGTTTGCAGCACGTTCATGAGGTTGTCGAGGTTCTCCGGCGTCCTGTAGAAGCTGCGCTCGTCGAAAGCGCCGTTGAGTCTGCCGTCTTCGTAGGTATTCAGGCTCGCGGGGCTGTCTGGTCTGCGGAAGCGGTCTTCTGACAGTTCGGAGTCGTCTTGCCGTTGCTTTGGTCCCTTGTGCGTAAGCTGCAGTACAGCCGCAGTGTGCATCAGGAGTTGCATGTCGATCATGCGCATGCGAGACTCTATCTCGAGGCACTCCCGAATGAACTCCTCGACCTTCTTGTTGCTTGACTCCAGCCCTTCCTCTGTCTTGGGGTCGTAGTCCTGCACGGGATTGCTGCCTTTGCTGCTCTTGCTGCTCTGCCCGCGCTTGTGTCCGTTTGCCTTCTTCGACGCCAGCCGTCCGAGGGAGCGCGTCGCATCGCGGATCTTCGTCTCCGACTCCAGCTTCCGCCTGACCGTGCCCAGACGAGTGTCCAGGCTCTTCTGCTCCTGCTTGAGCGCCTCCACCTCCTCGACCGAGAGTATGTCGAAATACTGGCTGTCTCCGATTGCCGTCTCAACAAGCAGATGCATAGCCACGGGGTCGGTATTCAGCGCGTCGGAGTTTCGCTTGCCCGAGTTTCGCGGTGTGTAGACGCCATTCTCGCGGATGGTCTCCCTGCGGCCGTCTACGAAGACCTCTGGGGGCGGTATGAAGGCGCTGGCACCGAAGCGCGGGGAGATCTGGTAGGCCATGGGGAAGAAGCTGGGCGAGGCGGTGCCATTGATGCCGGACGGGTAGTTGGACGTGGGCGAGGGAAAGTCATAGAGGGCGCGGGGACTGAGCGTGTCCCCGACGTAGGGGTACTGGGTGCGCAGGCCATTGGCGGTCATGGTTCTGAATCTGAGCGAGCGACGCGGCGACTCGGGGCGTTGGGGGGTTATAAAGGACCGGATGGAGAAGGCGACGGGAGCGCCCAACAGTAATACTCGCGCAGCCAGCGGGGGTGGTGGGCGCGCTCACGGCGAGCAGCTCAACATGGTTGCAATTGGAGAGTTGGCTCAGGAGACGCTACTCTAGCAGTCTGCTCCTAGCACTCGACTGCGCCCGTCAAGGGGTGAATGAGCCACTAGCCGGCGGGAGTTCACGCGTTCATGCGCGCTTGGCAGGCACCGCCCATCCAGACATTCCCCACCATCCCGCGTTCTCGCCTCGTATTCGCTGCGCAGTCCTGACGACACCATAGATGGCGTCCCGTAGCGTGCCCCGCGTGAAATATTGCTCTGCGGTGACTCTAGTGCTGCTGCATCTCGTAGTGAAAGCGCTGCTCCCATCTGATCGCGTCTCAGTTCGCCGCATGCCAAATTCGGATCTGCACTCCGCTATCGATAACGTCCGTGTCAGTCAACAACATGAGCGCACGCGCAACCTACACCAGAGACCAAACAACAAAGTACTTTGACCGCCTGGGGTTGCCTGACCAAAAGAGAAAGTACGATGTAGCCGGTCTGGACCCCGAGAGCGCACTGGAGTACCTCGCACTGCTCCAGAAGCTGCAGCTAGCAACCGTGCCCTTTGAGAACATCACCCTGCATTATTCGGCCCATCATTCCATCTCTATCCATCCGGAGGAATTATTCAAGAAGATCATTGACGATGACAATGGACGCGGTGGGTATTGCATGGAGAACAACAGACTATTTGGCACGCTGTTGAATTCGCTGGGGTTCACCCTGTATTCGGGCGGCTGTAAAGTTTGGGCTGCTGACAGCTGGACGGGCTGGTCGCATATGGTGAACTTTGTCACTATCGGCAACACCAAATACCATGTCGATGTTGGCTTCGGGGCTGACGGGCCCGTTGTCCCAATGCCTCTCGACCGCTCGGGCACAGTCCAAAAGCACATCCAGCCTGCATCGGCCCGTCTCCAATGGCGCAACATTGCAGACAACACTGACCCCGACCAGCGCTTCTGGGTTTACGAATACCGGAGGAATGACGAGAGCGACTGGGAAACCAAATACTCGTACAGTGAGCTGGAATTCCAGCCTCAAGACTACGCAGTCATGAGCTACTACACTTCCACCAGCAAGCATACTTTCTTCACGCAGATGGTAGTGGCCGACAAGAAGATACTGGGTGATGATGGGGAGCTGGAAGGGAAGATGAGTCTGGCGGCTGCTTCGTTGAAGTGGAATATCAAAGGTCAGAAAACCAAAGAAATCGAGTTCAAGAGTGAGGGAGAGAGGTTGGAGGCGCTGGAGAAGTACTTTGGAATGAAGTTCAGAGACGTGGAGCGAGAAGGCATTGCCGGACTGCCATCAGAGATCAAGTAGACACCAGTACTGAACATTGAGAATTGTTGATTGCTCGCAAGCCTACTATTGCTGCACATGCCGTAGACCCCCCCAGCGCGATGTAGTTACTATTGGGTATGTTGTATACTGTGTCGGAGTATCTCGCATCGTCTAGAGGAATCGCTTCTCGCACTGCCCGTGGTTAGCATCTTCCAACAGCCCAGCACCTCCATACGCACCCTCCATGGGTTGTTGAGCTCGAAGCCTTCCGGAGCAATCGGCTTGTCTGTCTGTCCGCGCATGAATCCTGTCAGCCGGCGGTCGCGCTCCATCACTGGGTCTCGTAAGCATGTCGCATGAGGTCATCATGAAGCTGTCGTACTTTGCTGTACACTTGTTAGCTTACTCCAGGTGCGCATATGTCTCTCGCAACCTACCCTGTCCCATTGGTCGATACCCCTCCTGGTCTTCTTTCCTCCGTTCTGGATCTCCTTGAGCTTTCCGACAGACACGGCGCTGAATGCGAAGAACTGGCCCTCGTGTTAGCAGCCTTTCACTCTAAGGCGCGCCAAATCACTCACGCCCGTCATAATGGCATAGGGCAGCAGAGCCTCGAATGGGACACCCATGATTGCGGTAGTGTGTTCAGGCGCGGTGGTGTTGCGGGGTGGGCGATCAGTGCGAACTCGCTGGAGGTGCCGTCGGCGTGAAGTGAGGTGCGGCCGTGCGTCAACTGCTCCTTGGCGGCAACCCCGACTACGACCAAGGGTGTCATTTCGGACGACGACAGCGCATCGCCCATACCATTTCCTGCCGAGCGACAATTATTCTCGGTGTCGCACAGACTCACCCTTTCATACGAGGCGCGAAACCCGCAACCTTCAGCCGCCAGACCCCCGAAATAATTGCCTCCGCTGCGATCGCACCTCCGCCTTCCCCACAGTCACGCCCAACGCGACTACGAGACCGCCGCATCTGCCTCTGGCGATTCACGACCTCTAAAACTCATTACACGATACACCTCAGTTGAAAACACGCGGAAAACAGTTTCACGGGTCACAACAACGCGCTAGGACACAGACAAGACGCGCTCACCAACCACTGCATGAGAGAGCCCCCGCGGCTGCTACCGCTCGCGCAACCAATGTTCTAAGGCCTATACCAATTGGACTGCGACAGTGGCGTATCTTGCCTCCAAGGTGGCCTCTGCCGTCAACTTCGCAATGGCGGAAATCATGGGCCAAACCGCGGCCAACACCGACCCGGACGACATCGATGCGGATGGCGAATACGAGATGGACGATGTAGAGTACGCGCCCGGCCCGCCTATCGAGGAGATGCCTGATGCTGAAGGCCAAACTACAGACGCTGAGGGTTCAGACGTGGATGCCGAGGGCGAAGATGTCGATGCTGAGGGTGAAGATGTGGACGCCGAGGGTGAAGAGGTCGACGACGATGAGGACGAAGCTGAGCCCGTCGGTGCTGTCAAAATCGCACTGCGTCGACCCAGGTCCGACGACGAGGAAGAGGACTATGACGGCGACGATGTCGCGAGAGAATCCTCCGATGCCAAGTCCAGCGACAGCGACGAGTCAAGCAACCTTGATTCCGAGGAGGAGAACCAATGGCAGGCGAGCGATGGTGGTGAAGAGGATGAAATCATCAGGTCGAACAACCCCAACGTGTGCATGTAAGTATCGCCCCAGAAGATTGAGCCTGTAAAACATTTACTAACTGAGCAGATATTGCAATTTAGACGAGGACAACGACCCCAGCCCGGAATTCGAGGAGTACCTCTCTTGCGCCCAGTGCGGAGACAATGGTGAGTACTCAGTTGGGAGGTTCGGCTTACGATGTGGTAGCTCACACATTGTTGGTCCAGCACATCGGCAATGCGCGCGTAACGCTAATACGCTTAGTCCCGATGACGGTATGTTCCCTTGTCAGGCCCGAACCGCACCTTACTAACGACGAATAGATGCAAAGCTTTGGCGCTGCGAAGGGTGTATCAACAACTTCCCAACGGAAGCAGAAGAAGAGGCAGACGAGCCTTCTACTCGTCGGAGACGTTCGTCCGCGAACAAGTTGACCAAAGAGTTGCTCCCTTCACATCGTGGGGTTGACCCCGAAGGACATTCAATCTTCAAAGAGCTAATCCTTCCCGACGAATCAGCAGATGGAATACGTTCGCTGCGCAAACGCAAGACTTCGCAGGAAGAGGAAGCGCCGATTCCGTCGAGGCAAACACGGAAGAAGCGGAGACCTTCCGAAGCATCCAACTCAGATGCGGCGCCATCAGTGCCTGCAGTCTCACCCCGGCCACCTTCAAGAAGCGTACGAAGTGCTCGTAGCGTCATGACGGATGGTCACGAGAGTGGAGGCGAGGCAGAGCACACTGGTTCAGATCGAGAGGCAGGTCGCTTACGACCAGCGCGAGCACGTCGTGGTCAGCCTAAGAGGACCGACAAACGACCACTCGCATGGATCGAAGAGGCCCAGCCTGGAAGCCTGATTATCGCTTTCCATCTCAACAACGAGAAAGTCCAGAAGATTGTCACCGCCAAGCCCAAAGTAAAGACACTCACGCGCGAGCAAGAGCGACAGGAGAGGCGGCGCGAGAGGGATAGAGAACGTCGCGAAAGAAATCGCCGGGCTGCACAGGCTGCACGAGAATCCTCAGAGGTCTTGCATTACCCAACAATACACATTCAAAATGCCGCTCCGTTCCCAGGCTTCACCGACAGGGAGCCTGACGAGGTCAAGAGCAAGCCCTACGGTGGTGTACTTTCGGAAGCGGATGCCGATACATCCAAGACTTATCCTTCGCCCGCCGACCGGAAGCGGTTCGACGATGCTCGCATCAAGGCTGAAGAAGAATGGAAAGTGAAGCAAGCCGCACTTTACCCGCCCGAACCACTCCGGTCGCACAAGCAAGCAACCACGGCGAGCAAGATCAAATGCGTCAATTTCGGTGGCTGGGAGATCGACACCTGGCACGCTGCGCCATATCCTGAAGAGTACAGCAAAAATCGGGTGCTTTACATATGCGAGTTCTGTCTCAAGTACATGAACTCGGATTATGTGGCATGGCGGCATAAGGTAAGCATTTCGACTTCTTTCCATGACCATGTACTAACAAGCACAGCTCAAATGTCCAGCGAAGCACCCTCCTGGCGACGAGATCTACCGCGACGGCAAGTACTCTTTCTTCGAGGTCGATGGCCGAAAGAATCCAGTGTACTGCCAGAATCTCTGTTTGCTCGCCAAATTGTTCCTCGGTTCCAAGACGCTATACTACGATGTCGAGCCCTTCTTGTTCTACGTCATGACAGAAAATGACAACTTTGGGTGTCATTTCGTCGGCTACTTTTCGAAAGAGAAGCGTCCCAGCTCGCTCAACAACGTTTCTTGTATTCTCGTGCTTCCCATTCACATGCGCAAAGGCTACGGACAGTACCTGATAGAGTTCTCCTACCTCTTGACCCGCGTGGAGAGAAAAACTGGAAGCCCCGAGAAACCGCTCAGTGACATGGGTTTGGTGAGTTATCGGAAATACTGGCGGCTTGTCCTGTGTGAGGAACTACTCCAGCAAAAGG